GGCCAGCTTGGACAGAAACCACTTACCACCGGCAAGTTGGAGGATCAGGTTCAGCAGATGTCACCTATCGCTCGCCATTATACGATTGACAGTCCACGCAGCGTTTGTATGGATCACTTTGCCCCGGCTGTCCCCTCTGATGACCCCTTCTTACCGTAAGCCTTGCATATGTACTTAAAATAATTAATATTGTCTACTTAATTGGTGTAAGTAACCCGTTTTTATTTTCTGAACTCAGGCCGGCCCGGACTTTGCCCTACCTACGCACATTTTCTCAGGCGCCTCGGTCGACCCCCGCAATCCCCTCTAGAAACCTGGACTCAAGCAAATCCTGCTTTTTCTTTCCCGACGATGGGGATGATGACCTGATGGCCATTGAACAACGCACCTCTGCCCTCTCCCACACACAGCAGCCTACTGCAATGGACTTCTGTCCCTCTGACCTGAACTTTATCCAGAGCAACGACATGGTGGAGTCGTTGCCGCCACAACAGGAATTTGGTTGTGATCCCATGATAAAGCTTGAAGCTGTGCCTTTGGGAAAGTACCAAGCGCCGGGATCCTGTGAGACGCAGAACCAGCAGCAGCAGCAGCGACCTGTAGAGGATGCGATTCCTGTCAGTAGTAGTAACACCGCTAGTTTTAGAAATGAAGGCGTCGTTTCGCCTGCCCCAGCGCCTGTCTTTCGCAATCCACAAGCACCACCTCCGACGTCAAAGAAGTACAAGAGGAAGCCAGACCCCATTGCCATACCCACGGTGAGTCTGCTCTCTCTCTTTGTTTAAAGCTTCCACAGTATCACATATCAATTAAGGACCGCGGAGGAGTCGTTCTGGTCTACTTCTGTTTAAAGTTGTGGAATAAGAATGCTTGACGCGCCTACGGAAGTGGCTTCGTGCTTTCACTAGATCTACAGTAGTTGATGATGTTCACGCTGTAAAAGTGCGCAAAGCGTTCTAATAATGCTTTCCTGTGCATATGACCGGTATCTGTTAAGTAAATATACATCAAGATAGCGTTTAAATGCGTCTGTCGAGTTCGCCATTATGACCTCCTCGAGCAACCCGTTCCAAGCACTGGCGACTCACTGTGAAAACGAACGACTGCAGACATTCAGATGAAATAAAGTTCCTCGGAATTTGGTTCGATTTTCACGCCGCTGTGGCGAATGCGAAGACGTCGTCAAACTGCAGGGCACAGTCCCAGTTCCTCATGAGCCGGTGTCTCTGTAGCAGATCACCTCGGATCTGCCTGTACTCAAGAGTAAAAAGGCCGAGTGCCTCAATACTGCACTCGTAAGATAAGCACTTAAGGCCCTTCATAACTTTTGCTGCCTTACTTTGCGCCCTTTCTAGTAGTTTATCATCTTTTTTTGCATCCATGAACTCCATATTGTAGATTGAATACAATCTACGTTATGATCGCCCTCAGTTGGCGTCCGAGCTGCCTCCTCCTTGTTTATATGGCAATCTGCTACATCGTTCGCACAGACTCGCTGTTTCATTACGTTACTGTTATAACCTTGTGTGTTCCTGTGTCAGCACAGTTTTTATCCCTCCAGTTGCGTGTTAGGAATAGAACGCAGAACAGGATAGCAGATAATGGTTTACTGTAACTGTAT